GAGAAAAAGCAACTATCACATGGACAGTATTTAGCTTGAACACTCTAATGAAACAATTTCCTGATCACTTTCTTGTTTGATGTTATTTTACTTGCATAAACACACACACACACACACACACACACACACACACACACACACACACGTAGGTGTGGGCATAACATCTGCCTCATTGAAATTCAAAAAAAGGTTTCAAGGTCTGCCTTGAAACCTCCAACTGGCCCTTGGTCATCGAGCAGAAATAACTCATGAGAATAGCGCTGCATGTATCTAGCCTGCAGCTCTTATTAACCTCAACCACAAGGGATACACAGCAGCGGTTGTTTGATGTCCCCTAGTAAAGGCACCTTCGCACCTTGCATGTTTCAGCACGACAGAAAGAGATAGACACTAAGTGAGATTCATTTGAAATTACAGACAAATAGATGAGGGGAAATCAAATTGGCTGAGGTATGATACATTTCTAAAGTGGCCCTGAGAGCTCAATGTTCTGTAGGCTAAGAAAACCCATGCTTATAGACCAAAGAAGACAGAGACAGAGAGCACGGCCAAATGCAGAAACGCGCTGCAAAAACAGAAAAAGCAACCAACGACAGAAAACGATTTAAAAATGTTTTGTAATTCATATCTACTGTTTTTTGCCTTGTGTTATGCAGCGCTCCTACCGCGCACACACGCGTCTCCCAGTGCTGCCGTGCGTTTCAGAAGTCGCAGCAAATCAACACACGCTTTACTCATGATCACGCAAAACCCTGACCCCCTGCAATGCAATAATGCTATATCTTATCTCATAATAGAGATGTGGCAGATATATCTCTTCTACTTTATCCACCCCGTGCTGGAAATAAATGGAGCCTATCAGTGGCCGGGCCGCTCATTCAACCCGGCGAACGAGGCTTTTCGGAGTGTTTGTGTGTACGCATATGTGTGTCGTAAAGTGAAGAGACAAAGAACAGTCAGGGGGTTGGGAGGAGCAAGATGGCTAAGGTCAATCTAGCCCGTAGTGTGATTTATTGGCACATTACAAGGCTAACACCACTCATGCGTGTGTGTGTGTGTGTGTTTCGTCACGAGCTCACATGTCTCTGCCCCATGGGATGGTGCGATCTCTAGTTTTTTTTGTTTTTTTGCTTAACGACAGCCTTGCTCTTTATAGGTGTTCTCTTGGCTGTGCCATTACTCTCCGTCCTTCACTCCCTCCCTCCATCCCTCCCTCTGCTCCTTCGCTCCCCGTTCGGACAATTTAATCAAGGGGCCATGCGCCCATGGGCCTCCCTCCTTTTTCATCACACCGCCACGCTCTCCGGGGAGAGATTGTGTTTTTATGGGGTCTCTCTCACTCTCTGTCTCCCTCCGTCTCTCTCACCCCCCCCTCTGTCTCGTCCCATTGTTGTCGGCTATCCCTCTGCCTCCACCTCTCCCTTTTTCCCCCACGATCTCACCATCATTTAGTGGTGCTTTCCCTCTTTCCGTCCTCCCCCTCCCTTTTTCTCTTGTTATATGTCCCATAGTCTCTTTCTCACCTCCACAGCTGGAACAAAGGCACGCCACAATCACTTCTCAAATTGGCAGCTATCTAGTTAGCATGCGCAGTGTTTGAGTCTGCAGTCGAGGAGAAAAGAAATGAGGTTTTAACCCACTGGAACACCATAGGGTGAACAGAAACTTGTGTCTGCCATTACACTTGAAGTGCTCCTGCACCAATTACAGCTATTGACCACACCTTGACTGTTCATATAATATGATTTGTAAGTGAGCGGGGAGGACTGCGGGAAATGGTTTGCAACCAGATTAGCGAGCGAGGCAGGTCGTCTGTAACTTTGCGATCCTTCGGAATTGCTTAGGAAAATGAGATTTGTCCTTCAAACAATTCAATTGTTTGCCTGCTGCCTCCTTGAATTGATTCCTCCCTGATCATTACACTGCTCTTACTGGCAGGTTTGCGCACAGAAACGAGGAGCAGACGCACACACACACACACACACACACACACACACGCACACACACGCACACACACACACACGCATGCCCACACACGCACTTGCACAATGCACCTGCTGAAAGCTTGTAATGATCCATCAGGAGAAGTGAATGGACCTCCGGTTGCCTCTGAGCTGCGGAGGCACACACCGGATATTGCAGCTAGCAGGACTTTGCACACTGAGGGAGAGACTTGCCCCCCCCAACACGCACACACGTACACATAACACAAACATAAAAGCACACATACACTCCGAGGTAATGACCAGATATTGCATGCGTGCCATCACAAGAAAACCAGTTCAAGCTGGCAAATAACATGGATGTAAAGCAGATAAATGTATGTGCAGACACACGCACGCAATTATCTCCACTTCACTCTACATGGCCTTTCTTCTAGAGCCAAAATGTCACATTGCTCTCCAGATTCCAGTCTCTAACGAGCTGTATGTGCATGTGGATAACAAATAATGGATCAAAGCATGTTTTCCAAAAGGCATTATGGTGTGTTACACTGTTCCATTATCCGTCCATATAAAGATGATTTAAGGGCCGAAGCAGCAGTCAATTGGTATGGCCAGATTGAAGTGTTAGGCGGCCCCGGGCAGAGATTTAATGCTGGGCCCCTATTGGCCCCCCCTCCAGTCTTAAGCATGTCCTCACAGCAAACGTGGAAGCCTCATTGTACGACCACATTCAAATGAACCACAAACTAATTGACACACAGTGAATCTGGGGCTTTTAAATCCCCCTGGGAGGTTACCTAATTTGCCTGGTTTGTATTCCAGTGAGGCACTTTTGCTTTGACAGGAAATTACTTCTTAAACTGCATAAATGCCTCTGAGGGGAGAAACATCTACATGGTGGCAGATTGAACACTGAATCATTTTTTCTTCTTTAGATCATTTTTTGGGAATTTATTGGATAGTTGATAGTGAAGAGGCAGACAGGAGACAAAGGGAGAGAGAGGGGTATGACTTGCAACAAAGGTTCTTTATCGTATCTGCTGCAACCATTAAGCTACCGGGGCTAACGGGTAGACAAATGCAGACTTCGCAATTTCTAGCTGGTGACCATCAATTTTGCCAACTGAAATGCCAACAGTTGCTGGCAGATTTGATCAACTGTAGCTGCCTAGCTTATTAAGCTAATGTTAGCTCCATGAGTAGGTTGAAAACACTGCGTCCAGCTGTGGGTGGATGAGGGCCCAACAATGTGCAAACTGGATCATTCATTAATTTAGCTCTTTTTTTTAATGTAGTCATGGCCTTGACAGTAACGTTTGCTTACTACCAGGCAGCAACCTTCCCTTCTGAAACGTGAAGCCAATGCGGAAACTTGCATTCTTACTAATGGCCATTAACTGGATTCCACAAACTAATGGATGATGTCACCAATGGACGATGTCATGGTGACTACATCCACTGATATACATTTATTATACGTTAGTATTATTATGTCTATGGTTACTACTGTGGGTAGTAAGCTTACATTAGATCAGATAAACTGTTTAGTCCATTATTTAGACGTTTGTTATTGTGTTTTATAAAAGATGCAACTCCCCAAAGAGTAGGTGTTGAAATCCTCGTTGCTGTTGCTAAGCTATGACCGGACCATTGCTGATCAGGAGAGGCATTTAACGAATGGTCAACTACCAATTTACCGTGGTACTAATTATGCAGCTGTGGGGAGTCTGTTGTTAAAATTGCATCTTTTATCTATTGTCTTGACGACCTGCTTATTACATTTCTTGGTCCCCCATATGCCGTCTAAAACTACAAAGACACAACTGTGCTGTAGCCTCCTCTGAAGATTCACAATGATTACAAACCAGCGACCCGCTGCTTCCTTGTCTGCCTTGTTTACTGCTCACAGGAGCCCCACAGTGTCTGGGCCTTTGCACCCACACAAGCGCTCCTCAATAAGAAGTGAGATTATGCTCATTAGGGACGTGATGTAGTTATATCTCCTGGAGGCCTCTCAGTGACCACAGCAGAAAAAAGGTATGACCCAGTTTGGTCCGAGTCAAGGTTGTGTGTTTCTGCTTTTGCCCTACGGAAAGACACACTGTACATTTTTTTTACCAGCTTGTTCCAGCATTTCAGCTGCAAAATACTTTCAAGTAAAACCAATTAGTCTATGTACATAGAAGAGAGGGACCTAATTTCTCTTTTTTCCCCACATAATTGACATATTCTTCAAATCTATTTCCATTTACTCCACCAATATCCAAGCCATTCCCTAAAGCTCCCACGAATACCACCACAGTATGAGGAGTCAAGCCAGGGAGGTTCTGGCTCATTCTGGTCCCTGATCTCATCTTAGAAATCCAAATACCGGCTCCCTAACAGCCGCTGCCTCTTACCTAGAGCCACTCTGGCCGCCGACGCGTCATAGTTTATCCAGAAGGAGACCCAGGAGAGGATGGTAATCAGGATCGATGGCATGTATGTCTGCAGGATGAAGTAGCCGATGTTCCTCTTTAGCTTGAAGCTCAGAGACAGTCGAGGGTAGGCACCTGAGGACGGGGCGAGACAAAGACCGAACCAGTGTGTTTTAGTCTTTTGGTTCATAAATAAAAATGTAACGGTAGTATTAAGAATCACAGTACATACATTGTAACTTTAGAAACACATTTGGTTCCATATATTTAAAAACATGTCATTGTTGACAGTACAAACATCCAACTTATATTATTCACAGGAGCACACAGGGATACCTTGTGTTTTTGTTTCAGTTTCTATGACAACCCCGACAGCATGGGTTGGATTTATCGCCATGGTAACAAGCATCCCCGTCACGGGCGCAGACACACACCAACTCTCTTACACACACACACACACACACACACACACACACACACGACTGCATGCACCCCTGTTTTTCGTGATGATGCGACACAATATTTAAGATGGCGATAAAGATTTCGGCGCATTTTGCCTCATCAATTCTCAGCCGTTTACATAATTCATGTGGTGATTCTGAGAGATTCAGCATCACTGCAGGAATAATAGCTTTCCAAATGCATGAAGCCGTGCCTCTGATGCTTCACAAGTCAGGGTAATAATATTCCCCTCCACGACCTGCTATGACGGAGCATTTCTGTCATTACTTTTCCATGACCTGGAATATAAACAGTACACAGTACGTGTGCTTGAATATAGTGTGACGCTTGATTTCTCTCCCAGCATATCTTTTCATGGATTGAATCTATGGCTCGTTACTTCCACTATTCCAAGCTATTGTCCCGTTTTCTCTGTATATTGGAGGAGAACTGGGGGGCCATTACAGTGTAATTTCCAGTCCGTGGGTTTCAGCCAAAGCTACTTGTGGCGAGCGTGGGTCCAATCAACTGCACCCTCGTGTGCAGAGTTGGATAGAGAGTCACTCTGAAGAGGCACACGATCCCATTAAGATTCTGCGCCGACTGTAAGTTAGATTGCAATAAAATCCTGACACGTTAATTTAAAGGGCCGGGCCATTCCTCAAATGTTATCTTAAACTTAAACCGACCGATATAATTGACATTTGAAGGCAGCCGGCAAACACAAGTGCCCCGCCCACAAGACACCAAACAAGACACCAAAACTATTGTTGGAATGGTGAAACTTTTGTTACACAGAAATTGACTAACATTTAACATAATATTGAAGACTTTGGCGAACAATTGACTTTTCATTTCGTGCCAATAGTTGTTTTCAATTAAATGTCTCAACTATTGGTTATTGGCTATGGAATTTGGTACACACGTCCATGAAGGTAAAATAATGATAATGTATACTATATATATATATTATATGAAGCAGCATGAGTTTCTCAGGAGTAAACTAAGGAAGGGTTGGGTATTTTTGCATGAGCAGCATGGTAGACATGGTTGATTAAAGTCAATGAGAGACGGCCACCGTCTTTTAGAAGTAAAAAGCACTTAAAGCTTCATCTGCATGATTAAAGGACTATTAAAGGAACCTTAACAAGAACCACCATAGTGCTTCTATTCTTTTACCCCTATCTGTGATTTAATTGAAAAAAGAAGATCCTTTTAAAGCTATAAATGAAGTGCTACCTGTGATGTTATCTTGTACATTGTTGCAAGTTTTGGCCTCTGAAATCCCCATTAGTTCATGCAAAAAACAGTAAAAACCCTTTTATATGTTACAACCAAGTTAAATATTTAATGAATTGTTTAGTCGATATTGTCTAAATGCCTGAGCCCACTTTTTCAAATGTCTTGGTTTTCCCGACCAACAGTCCAAGACCCAAATAGGTCGATTCGCAACGATATTAAACAAAGAAAAGCAGTAAATCCTCACATTTGAAAAGCAATACTCAAATACTTGCAATTTCTGCTTGATATGCAACTTAAACAATTTTGCTGTTACAAAAAAATATATTGTAAGTGCTTCAACCAATTGATGAAAGAACTGCAGACTTTGTCTAAAACCAAAGATCAGCTCATTGCATAAAGCATATATAAATGCAAACTTTTCCTTATTCACCACATCAGATGATCGTCCTGTATTTTGGCTTGTGGTTAACAGTTTGGCAGACGAGAACAAACTCAACACACGCTAAACATACACTTCATTATATTGCGAATGCGGGAACAGACTGTCACAGGTCTTAAAATATCCCATTCACTTCTTTTGATGCGTACTTAATGGCAGCTCCTGCAGCCCGAAGTGGGAGCCAAGAATCTTCGCAGTATAGCGCACGCAGAAGTGGTTTCAGAAAACGAGTGGGCTTGAGGTTCACTCGCGCGTGGGTGTAGAGAGCTGCACTGGCTGTAACTGCTACACCAAACAACATCCGCGAGTGGGAGGGACACCATGTGTGAGGCCGAGGCGGAAAGCGAGAAAAGGGAGAGGAGATGGAATTGAGGGGGGGGTGTATGAAAGTTGAGTGGATGATGACAGAGCAACGATGGAGTCTGGGAGAGGCGGCTGGGTAGACGGTGGCGCTGAGGTGTAGGAGGCCTGCTGTCTGTCTCTTTTTGTCTCTTTTGTCACCCTCATGGCGGGGGCGCTGCAGTCGAACAGCATCTTTGTTTGCTCCAAGTCCAGCTAACTAGCTTACTATACCTAAATAGCAACCTAGCTGAGCTCCGAGGCCAAGGAGTTAATTACACTTCCTGGGGTTTAACGTTTACGTTAGCATCCACCAATATATTTCCCCACTGAGCCCATGGATACTACTATATCGGAGCTTGTAAGCTAACGTTAGCGGCCAGGTCCGACTTTGTATGTTTTTAGTGAAGTCTACACTCCAGCAACCTCAAACGCCATATCCAAGATAGCTTTACGTTTGGCAGAAACACTGTTTAGTCCTCTTCCTAAAAGCCTTTTTTCTTGTAGTTGATGCAGACTTTTTGCCTGGAACATGTAGCTTCAGCCTCAGTATTTTAGATGTAGCCATTGAGTGCATATCTAAGACCTCTTTTACAAGATTTAAAATGAGTCAGAAACACCAGAAAGTCAGCAGGCCACCATGTTTTTTTCAACTAACTCATGGTGACAACGTTAGCTTTGCTAGCTACGTTAATGTTTCCTTACTTTTTAAAGCGAAAAGCGAATGATGAATGAATTTTGATTAATCAGCCACTTATTGTAAACTGCATATATGCCATTTGAGAATGGAAAGCTTGACAAGCAACAGTAACTCAGGGCTAGAGCTGTAGTCGTCCATGTATGCAGAGAGGAAAGTGCTCAGATATGGGCCCACTAATGAACGTCAATGCTACATTAATTAAAGAGCTGTTTTTCAAAAGCTGTTTTGGAAGCATTTCAAGTTTTCTAAAACCTTCATATGTGAAGGAATATTCAAGGGCTTTACTGTCGAATTACAGCAAAAAACATGAAATATAGATGCTTTTGAATATTTAAAGCTGTTATTATTGAAGCTATCTTAACGAAGATGTCGGAGAAGGATGAAGACAGAAAAGGTGGCGACGGACATTGATGAATGCACACAACGCGCAAAACAACACTTAAATGTCACCCAACACAGCAATTATCCAGTCACGCGTGCGTTTTGCATATGGACTTGCTTACCGTACGTACACGCACACACACGGGCAGTATTGTGTGTGTGCTTCGAGGAGAATAATTGATGTTGTGGGTCGCATTCCGCATGAATGTGCGATGCCCTGAATCCCGGGCTGCTTTTCAGTCAGAGAGCCAGGTAATTGGCATCCAACCACACCTCTTACAAGAGAGAAGAAAATATATACTAAAGAAGCAACAGAGGGTGAGAGAATGCCAAGACGGGGCAGAAACCCGGGGATAGAAGAGGGAAAAAGGTGGGAGGGAATTAAAGGCTGTCCAGTGGCACTTTTAATGGAGGGAACCTGGTCATTAGCCAGTCTTGCGGGGGAGCCTTTGATGTGCTTCACACAACCTGCCAAGAGCACGGGAGCAGCACCGCTGGACACTAAACTTTAATTGTCGCCACCCGCGGGGGACGTGCCACTTCTCTGAAACAAGTGCACTCTGGTGCACTTGCCTCGCGCACACTCGCATACGATTCACACACCAGGGCAGAGGCACACGCGCCGCGTACACGGCTAACGCAATGCAGCACATGCACAGGACAAAGACGCAGTGAGGACGAGGGCGACTCAAAGTGAGGCACTTGTTGGAAGACTGAGAGTAAAAAAAAAGATAGTGTGCAGCCTCAAAAGAAATGTTAAAAATACCCCAAAAGGCAAACAAAAGAATGATCTGTTCTTTGTGTCCTGTTTTTCTTCAGACTGGGTGTGGCTCCTCCTCACGAGCATAACTTCTGTGAGAAATTCTGTTATTAATAGACGTCAAACAGCTTTTATTTTCCCCGCTACGGCTGCGGAGAAGCTGCCTCTCTGAATAAGTCTCCACTGACCAGATTATATGGCAGTTGGTTAGGGAGCGTCAATAAAGTTTCTGCGTCTGGGACTTAATTTACACATCATAACCAGATTAATTCGGCACCTCAGTGTGTGACAAATGAAAATCCAAAGTTCACTGCATATATCAGAACACCCCTGTGAGCAATGAGGACCGTTGAATTACTCTTCTGTACTTCTCCAAGTGAGCAACTCAAATCAATCACATGAAATACGACATTGCGAATGATTTCTAACTTGACATATTGCTCCGTGTCACCATGTCTTCCAATTAATTGCTCTGGGAGATGACAATCTCGTGAGAAAATGGCCATCGCGAACCTATAGATAACACGCGATTAATGTGTTTCACAACACCAGTTGACACCAAAATATTTACGCGTCGTATAAACCATCTGTCATGTGTTGGCATTTCCTTTTCCTGAGCATCCATGTTTCGTTTTTTGTTCCCGTCAATATTCATTCGGGTTTTGGAGGATTGCTTGGGTTTGCTGCAGGCCATTGATATACTACTTGTTGGCTTTGTTCTCTAGAGGTTTACGGCATTGGATTTATTTGATCTCACCATGAAATGTGAGGGCTAAACACAACACGTACCGTCACTTTGAGGGTGTAAAAGCTTTCATATTATCTGCTACTGTCACGCTGATTGATTGTATTGACTGATTTAATTGATTGGAGCTACATTTTGTTAGCATCAGCACGACAACCAAACCATTAATTCCAGCGTCACCTCTCAGGGTCAAGGGCCACCCGACATGAACACGATTTGCTCTGTAAATCACAGCGTTTACATCATGTTTTGGATAAGTACCATTCCAACATCCTTGCATCAACCGCTGTTACTTAAGGGATACTTCAAAGGCGGCTTCAACCTCACTTCAACCCAATTAGAAGCACTGACAAACACAACTTTGGCTCTGAGGATTTTGGATCAACAGATCAAGCTTTGGCACGGATTTCTTTGCTACAGAAATTGATTAAATAATCAGCTTGAAAATAGGCCAACGTTGGATATGAACAATATCATCGCAGACGTAACATCCACTTGTCGTGTATTATTCCCCACAGTAAATCCAGTGTGTACACAAGGCATTATAGTAGAGCATTTACCTGTGGAAAAGACTACGTTTCTGGACACCAGCTTGTAATCGACTATGGAGAACTGAGGCAACTCGATCCGCGTCACCCCCGTTACAGCCGACTCGCCTCCTTTCCAGTAGAACTCGATGTCGTCTGTGGTGTAGCCATCTGCACAAGTAGAAACACACACACACACACACACACACACACACACACACACACACACACA